CCCTACCTGTGCGGGAGAGCCGCGGGTTGCCACGTTGTTTCACAGAGTAAGGGGGGAGGGGGGGGAGCCACAAACCCCCACCACCTTATTGCTGTTTCTTGTGGGCTCAGTCCCTGTTTCTTGTGTTTCAGTCCCTGGAGGCTGAAAAGGGCCAATATGCAGGGTTGTTTTCCTGCAGAGATGGCAGGGTCTTGCTCGCTTGAGTGTGATGTTTGTTTTCATTGCTGATGAAGAGTCCCAGAGTTCTGGGTGCTGGCACAGGTTGCCCAGAGAAGCCGTGGGTACTCCCTCCCTGGCAGTGTTCAAGGCCAGGCTGGACGGGGCTTTGGGCACCCTGGTCTAGGGGAAGATACCCCTGTTCATGGCAGGGGGGGTGGGACGAGGGACCCTTTAAAGGCCCTTCCAACCCAAACCGTTTAGTGAGTGACCCGTATGAAAACTGCTGTAATTTTATCCCCCCTCTGCTGATAGGGGCAGTCTGAGCAAGGGCTGAAGCTTTGAAATGAAAGACTCTTGTCGCCTCTCTTGTTGATCAGTAAATGCAAAATATCTACGGAATGGCAAGACTCCTGATTAAGATTCACAGTCCCAATGTGCTGCTGCAAAAGGTGCTCCTTTAATTTCCTGGTGCCAGCCACGCACAGTACCTGGCTAGATGTGGTTTTGTTTAATACTGTGTATGACCAAGATAGAAAGATGATGATACAATAACCTAGACATAATTTTGTCTGGTGTGGCTTTTAGAGGGGGGAAAAAATCAGTTTGAATTCTTTTCCCAATTGAGTTGTAGCAAGTAACGTTAGGAGTTTATGGCTTTGAAATGTATAACTTTTTGTCAGTTGACTGAAATTCTAGCATTGTTGCTAGGTCGGACTAGCTGTATCTGTTCTCTTTTGTAGCTGTGAGCTGCCAAATCATAATCTTCTCAGCTTCATTTTAGAGGCTAAATAATTAAAGCTTGAGTATTAGGCCCTTAGTTTTTTCCTGCCTTGCTAGAATTAAGATGTGAGCCAATATAAAAGCAAGATTGGTCTTAGCGAGCTTGTGCCTCAGTTTCTACCTTCTTGAAACTGCATAGCTGCTTTCATACTGTGTAGTGGGCTTAAAAAAGCATTGCACGAGTATGTGTGTTAAAATAATTGTTAACCCTAACCCTAACCTAATTGCAAAAATACTCTTTTATTGTGTGCCTGGCTATGATTTTTGGAAAAAAAAGGAGTGGGTGTGGTGGAACTAAAAATCATGTTTTTTAAAGTAATGTTTTAGTCTGTGCACAGTGTTTGCGATGACGCATTATTTTAGGCCGTAGGGGATCACAAGGACGGTCAGATCAGTAGAAAATGAAGGAAAAACCCACAGTTGTTTGAAAGTGTTTAACTCATCAGGGGTATACTGCAGTGACACTTCTGTCTGCATTGAAAGATTTGATAAATGCAGAAAGAAGTAATCAAGATGGGGGGAAAAGGGTCATACAAAAGGTAGCTTTAAGAAAAATTGTCTCTGATCAAATCACTAAACATGGTATGAAAAAATGCTAGATACAGTACTTTATTTAAATGTACTTTTTAAAAAGTAGTTTTAAGTTGATAAATACTGTGCTATAAAGTAGTGAAGAGGCTTAGGAATTCCAGGGAAGTATGCAGATGTTTAGTTCGAACATATAATTACTATATATATATATACAGAAATACTATAAAATACTATATATGTGGGAAATGTCCCCTGCTTCATGTTGTACCCAAGTGTTCAAGCTATACAAACGCGACCACAATTTTTAAAGTCTCGTTCTTTAAAGAGAGAATGTGTAGTCAGCTGCTTAGTGCTAGGATATCTTAATCTAACTAAAAATAGGGGCTTTTTAGAATGTTACCCTAACTAGTCAGTCAATATTCCGGTGTCTTTTGTCTTGACTTGCCTGCTGCAAGCATCTTTCTTGTTTTTGCAAACAAGAAAGGGAACCTATTCCTCCTGCCTTGCACTTGTGCCTGGCTGTTCTTCACTTTTTCTTGTGTAGTCAGCAGTTCAGATGAGCTTTTCTCCCTCTGAGTTGAAGGAACGAAGTCCGGGAATTAGGAGCTGTTTTGTTAGGATGTGGCCAGACCCTGATGGAAGGACCGAAACATTCCTGGTGTACTGGGGAGCTGGCAGACAACTGAAATATAGCTTGATAGCCAAGTCCCTGATCCTTATGTCTGTCGGGTCATCTCTTCCAAATCATGTCTCAGCGTGAGCTGTTTTCATCTTGGTTCTTGTTGCTTAACTTGGTGGATCCACATATGGTTCTGGAGTACCATGCTGAGAAAAGATGCATTTGTTGAACCGTGCAATTTCTTTGCCCTCCTGTTAAAGTCAGAAGAGTTAATCCAGATTTCTTCTGGTGTGACAGAGGGATAGACCTAGGCCAGTTAAATCTTGGTGGTTCCTTTTTTTCCCCCCTCTTACAAAAGAAAAAGTAGTAGATGTTTTTTGGAGACAAGTATCTGCATCGTTCTGGCTTTAGAATTAAACATTCCCAAATCCGTCAAGACAGAAAATGAAGCTTTTGCAGAGAGCGCATTTGAGATGCAGGGAGTTGGTGGCTTGAATTCAAGTCCTGTGTTCCACATTTGCAGTCTGTGATGCAGTAATTCGGGAAGTAAATTTGGGTGCACATGTATTACAGACATTTGCTTTCGTATACTGAGCCTAGATAGGGGATTCTTAAGCGTTCATGCTGGTTTTCTATTTATATATACAGTTTTTATAGTAAGCATGTAGTTTAATTGGACAGTTGGAGGTACACAGATGTGCTTTGATTTGATTATTGATAATTATGCCTTTATTCATTCAATGACTTCTCTATTTGCCTTTTTGGTTTACAGTAGAAAATGACATCTCTCCAACTTTAATCTCAAACCCCTCATCTCTATGAAACAAATGGTGGTTATCCTTTTTTGGGACATGATCTTCAGCTGTTAGCCTTCCAGATGGTTGCAGTTTAACTGGTAGTTTTGTTGATGCTGTGGTGCTGGGGTCTTTAATGCAGATGATACTTGTACGTGTATATTGTACTGTGAGAACTGTAGCAAAAGGCCAACTTTTTAGGAGAATGATTCAGACTTGGGAAACTTGATGCAAAGGTGGAAAATCATGTATCTTTTTTTTTTTTTCTTCTTTATATTTAGAAGTCACCATTGAAATTTGATGTGTGTAAAGTACTGAATTGCCAGCTTTTCTTCAGATGTTAATTTCTGGTTTATTTATGTGGATCATTTGGAGGCTAACTGATTTCCCAAGGAAACTGTCATCAGAGTGTCTTGCTAAAAACATTGTTGTTATACTTTCATGGGCTGTGAGGCTATAAAAATATTTATTTGGGTTTTGGTTTACACCATTTGTAGTTATTTTTAATGAAAAGTTATACACTAAAGCATTTGAAGGAACTATAGATAATTTCCAGATAAATTTTTACGTTGTGAAAGTTCCTTGTCTGTATTGTAGCTGTGTTGTAATTAAGGCACTTGTATCAGCTTCAGTAAATGGTCCTCTAGTATTCGGTGTTTGTACATCTGAATTTGATAAAAAATGCCACTCTCTGAAAGCATAAAGTTACTTATGCTTAGAAGCATAAAGTCTGTGGAAGTCTCAGTGCCCCAAGACCCCTGTGAAAGCCGATGATTGGGTAAATTAGGGCAGAATTCAGCTAATGTTTAATTCAGAACAGTGCTTAACTTCTAACTTGAACAGATCCGATGAGGCAAATTTTAATGGTATTTAAACCTGCTATGAAAACTTTTAATTTGTGTGTGTATTTTTCACTGGAGCTGGGCATGTTCGCCTAAAGGCTGAAAGAAGCCTTGGAAGTGTAAGGTCTTGTGTCATAAAGAACAAGGGTGAAGGTGGTGATAACATTTATAGGTGGTTGGTTTACTGAAGTTGGAAGTCATTGCATGCATCGGCTGTTTCAGACCTAACAAAATCTGCAGAATTTACCATAGCAGATGACTCTAGAGATCATTGCCAATATGAAGAGGTAATTTACTAAATTGATATTTTGATATACGTGGTAGAGTATTCATTTTTCATTGTTTTATTTTACTTCATCAGTCACAAAAACATCCTAGGAGTAATAACACAAATCTCCTTTTGTAAAGTGTGATGATGCTAGGCATTTCCTTGTTTTTCAAGAGGAGATTTAGTGCCAGTTGATTTGTTATGTTTTACTTTTATTTGAATATTAAATACTTTTTTAAAGATACGTGTGTTTCTAATTAGATGTTTTATCTTATTTATAATGAATATTTCAGTAATACAAATTATATTTAAATATGGCAAAGTATTATTTTAACAAGAATGAGATTATTTTCCATAGTTGTACTGGGAGTGGAAAGATGTATGAAATATGTTGATACCTAACTTCAAATAATTTCATTTAGGTTCCAGCGGAGGATGAATTTAGTCTTCAGGAAGATGACGAGGATCTGTCGGAGGCTTTGCAGGCTATTCAAGAGCAGGCTGAAGATGCACAGATTTTAGTAAGAACTTCCTAAACATTCTAAGATTCTGTCTGTATTTCAGTTAGCATTAGTGGCTTAAAATTTGCACATCATAGTTTATTTTAATTTTGAAATATGTGTGTGGGAATGATTGTCTCTTTTTTTTTTTTACAGTTCCTAGAGGTGAACAGATGCCATAGTGGAAAAGGAAACATACGTTTCCTGGGTTTCATCTTCCTTTAACTTTTTTTCACTTTATGATCTGTAAACAACCTGATAATCCAAATACATCTAACAAATATATAGATAATTTAAAATATATTAATGTTATTAAAATGTATCAGTATTTTAGGGTTTCTATGTCTGAATAGATTGAATCAGTGTGTGATTCCTGACACAAGAAAGAAACTGCATACGCTGAAGAAGCTTGTACTTGAATACTTTGCTAAAAAAGATTGAAAATAAGGAATGGGCTGTTACACTGACTGTGTTAAATCGAAATATTAATGAAATTATCAATCATTTCACACCTTTAAGACACTCTTTACATTTACATTTTCATTTTGAAACAGTCATGTAATAGTTCAGAGTTACACAATGGGATTGTTATACTGCATTTTCCAAAATATGATTTACCTGAATTTCCTTGCTTGTAATAGTCTAATGGAAAAGTGCTTTTTCCTGCTGTGTTTCTAGTATCACCACTATCTTATACCTTCACCAGTAAGCTATCATCATAGTCTGTTTTGTAAAAGCAAGTGATTAATAATGAGAAGATAAAATTATCTTAATGATTCTTAACATCAAAATGGAGGAAAAATGTGCATTTTCTTCTGCACTATTGCATATCAGCAGAAGATCAGTTTTGTATTTTAAATCAAACTTGGAATGAAAACTGACACTACCAGAATCTTGTGTGTTTTGAAACGGAAAATGCCTGAAAATTAAGAGTAAGATGGCAGAAGTTTTTAAGACTGAACATGCTTAATGTACTGGTGGATATTCTCGATGTTCTCTAGGGATAACTGAAGTTATGTCTGTCTTACTGTGCGAGCTGACATTCAAATAAAAAGTGAAACAAGACTATTTCTAAGCTATTGATCTTTTGACAGTACTATAATTAAATAATAAAATATAATAATTAAATAATCTTTTTCCTCTTTGATTGAACCTTGAGTGGTAGGAAACAGTATGCTAATATCTGTCCCATTTAATCACACTGAGGAAAGTGTTACCTTTCCTTAAAACTGAAGAACTTGTGTATTTAAACTCAGTGATTCTCTTTGATTTTCTGTGTATGCTAATAGGTGTCTGCCTGCTTGCTTCTTGAGTCATTATTTGAAGGCTTAATTTTTCCATAATTTTGAAACTGAAGCAGTATTTTCAGCCTTTAGACAGAAAGACATGAATTAGAAAACTGCTTTAAAACACTTTCTAGTTCCTTGACAGCTGTCATAATGATTTACTGTATATTTTATGAGGCTCAGAGACTAGATTGATGCTAATTCACTGGAAGAATGATGTGCTGCAGTGAATGCTTTTGGTAACCCAAGTTAGAAGCTTTGTTTCCTGTGAATTAATATTGAATCAATATCCAAACTCTGAGTTAAGAAGCACAGTAGAAGGCTGTCTTCACATGATAAATAATTAGTACACTTTTTCAATTAGTAGCTTCTAATCTTCGCTGAAATAGTTAAATGAAGTAACAACCATATCCTGGAATAACTAGTCTGTGATAAACAGTTTTAAGTGATTGAATATATTTGCTCTTTATGGTAATTTGTATACTAATCCTGTATTAAGATTACGATTCAATACTAGGTGTAAGTCTTTTTGTTAAAGAGATTATATAGAGAAGGCACAGATCAAGGGAGCATCGAAAAATATTTAAGTGATTTGCCAAATGCAGATGCTATACATATCCCCAGTTTCTAAATTGATTGACTAACTACAGTTTCTTTTATACTCTGTTAAAAAGGTCAAGTGTAACCAGGAAAATCTAAGAAAAATGCTTATTTTCAAACTTCCTTCCAACATAATTAGCACTAATTACCAAATGAAGCAGAGCAAATGTAAGCAAATGAGAGATGGTGCTATTCATCTTTTTTAAAAAATATAAAATTGATGTGTAGGAATTAAAGCTATGTTTCTACAGGGGATATTGAGGCATGTTTTCTTTCCTCCTGGATCTCTGCGTGCGTGCAGTGAAACTGTTGGTCTTTGACTATGATGAGGCTCCCTCAACAGTTACAGTTCATGTTTTTGTTTGGACCCAAACAGGGAAATGAGGGTGGTGGAGCCCCAATCTCTAAATATCATTTCCCCCTAGTCTGGTGGTGAAATGGCAGCTGATTTAAAATATGGGTGTGCTGGGCAACACACGCTTTGGCTAGCAGTGATTCTGCCTACTGCTCCTGTCCTACTCATTGTTTGTCCTTTTCAGTCACAAGTCATGATTTTTTTTTTTTTCTGTTGTTCTTGTTTTGAGACCTTGTGAAGTAATATAAATTATTTTTAAACGCAAGTAACAATGTTTTGCATATGAAAGAAAATCTTCAGCTTATAGGGACCCTAGGAAAAGGTCACAGAATTTCTGGCAAACCCCACACAGGAAAGGAAACTGGCTGAGATACTTTTTTCAATAGTTACAGCTATTACACTTCTGTTCCAGGTTCTTTATTTTCTTAATATCCCAAAATAATACTCTGAAGTCACATTCCCCTTCATTAACCTTACTTTTTATGTAAGTTTGATTTATAATTTGATCATGTTAAAAATCTTTGAATTTACTTTTAATTCTTTTTTAGTTTAGTAAGTTTTGCAAGAACATCTCATTTTATTGTCCATATAAATTATTAATTTATTTGGTGTTAATCCTTCTTCATTTGGACAGAAATTTTTGTGAGTGTTGTGGAAGTCCTTAAGGCTAAGCTTTTAGCAATTATTTTATTTTACTTGCCATATTTGGAATCCTTACAGTCAAAATGTTTTAAAGATTTTAATTAAAAAATAAATATTTAACCAAGAAATATTTAACAAAGCAAATTGAATTAGTTTATTTTGATTTAATGGTCAGAATCCTTTAATAAGATGTTTTTGCCTGTAGGTCTTCTATAGGGTGTCTGTTCACACCACATTAATAGATTGTAAATGCCTACAAATATCTGAAGGGTGGGTGTCAGGAGGATGGGGCCAAGCTCTTTTCAATGGTGCCCAGTGACAGGACCAGGGGCAATGGGCACAAACTGAGGCACAGGAAGTTCCGTCTGAACATGAGGAAGAACTTCTTCCCTCTGAGGGTGA